AAGATGTTGAGTTGTTTTCCTTTAGTCAAAGTAATACATTTGTGCAAAAAACAAAGGCACCTCACTTCAAAATGATTTTCTCACACACAGACACGACAGAACTATTCAACATTGACGACAACATATCAATTGCTTTCACATTTAGTAGATGTAAACTAAAAGCATGGAGCTGCTGTGGTGAAAACAAAAGCTGAATGAGCACACTGTTTTGATGGGCTCATTTGCTTTGTGGTCACATTTAAACCCTTTTGTCCCAGAAATACATTTCCTCCTACAAAGGCACAATTACAAAACGTGTTATTTGTTACACAATAAATGCTGCAATATCCTTTTTCTGCTACAGCTAACTCGGGGTTAGAGCCGACATTAATAGACATTAACAAATAATGCATATGTAAACCCTCCCATATGTAAATCTAGCCATGCCTGTGGGCTGAATGAGAGAAAATCAATCGATTTTTCAATTTACGCTAAAGAGCATGGATGGAGGAATCTCCACTGCCGGGTATTCTATTCAGACAGTTCTGCGACAATTTTCCACCAGGCTTGGTCCATTTTTAAATTGACTTTTGTCAAGCTGGGTGGTGATTGCAGAGCCAAACAGCTTAGATTTTGGTGGATTTAGCAGGAAAATACTTTCCTGGGCAATGTATATTTGTTAGACCTGGGGTCATTGTTGAATAATTGTTTGACAGATTAATGCTACTTTAAGAAAGGCAACAAAGCTTACGAGACTAACCCACAACCAGTATGGGGTTTTCTTTCTGCTACATAAAAAAAAGGCATAATAGTGTAAGGGCAAGTGCTTTAACATTGGCAGTGATACTAATGAACCACCCTGAGAATTGGGCTAGTTATTCTTCCAGAAGCTACCCTAATGCAGGATTACAGGGGGTTTCTACTTTCAAAAAGATTTACCTGTATGCAAGATATCCAAAGAAGCTGCCAAGAGCTGTAACCTGCACAGCAGACAGTTACAATCAATTAGGTGGACTAACACTTATCTTACTGGTAGAATATATGAAAATGGAGAACCTTCGCTTAAAGCTTTGCGTTTTGATGCCATAATATGTAAGTGCTATACATAAGGAATCGTAGAAAATATGGAAACTGGATCCTGCTGCATATATATCTTACAATACCGAAGTCAACCACTCAGGCAGACCCATCAGTAAGAGAAAGGCAGCTTTGGAGTTCCTCAACACAAAATAATAAAAAGTGCATCTTTAGGGTCCTAAAGAAACTGTGAAAATGGAGGGGGTCTAAATAACAAATCATGTGACCAAGTCATATGACTGCTTTTCTACATATTCTTACAGCTGGTTGTTTAGCAGTGGATGTCTAAGGACTTTAACAGAAAAGAACAAAACAAGTTTTGATATTATCCTATCAGTTAAAATACCCTAAAAATTATGACATTCTCTGCGAGTCCTACAATCCTGCAGCATAACAATCATTTTGGCATCGGACACATTACGAAAACCAGTTTCCAGAATGTACGTATGTAGTAAGCTATAAAGTACACTTTGGCTTCATTAATGCAAACTGGACAAATTAAAGCTGAAACATTACATAAAAAAAAAATATCCCACGGTTCAAAGCCAAGTTCAAATTTAGGATCCATAGTGCTTGTGCTGCTTTCCATAAACAAAAGTAAAATACTTAAGACTATTTTGCATCAGTCTTGGCGAGAGAACTAAAAATTGTCCAAAGTACTAAGGGATCGTCACAGTTGTGCTTTGTTTCCCAATGTTCAAAGAGCTCCTTCTGAACTTCGAAAACTTGTTTACACAACAGGCAGTTAAAAACATTTCCACAGCAGAATTGAATTTCAGTGCAAGATCCAGATGGAAGGTCATCATTCTGCCCTGGCGGGTTTCGCCCTTCTACCGATGGAGCCATTTCCGTTTCCCTAAGTTCACTATGAGTAGAGTTTGAAACGCATACATGTTTCCTGAGTCTGCTGGAACCAAAAAGCTCTTCATCACATTTATAGCACTTGACCACATTCCGCTTCTCACTGAGCAGTTTCCAGTGGTGAGTTGCATGCTTGACCACCTCCTCTTGGGCACCTTGCCTGTTCTCTAGGACACCATCCTGTAATATTTCTTTAAATTCATCTCCATGTATGCACAACAAATGGAGTTTCATGTCCGAAAATGTAGGTGTGATAAAATGACAACGTCCACATTTTATCTGCAGTCGGATCTCATCTGTTTGTCCGTGAAGGGCATCATCTTCATTCCCATGCCGGTCCCTGTAAAAACATTAATACAAACAGCATCTTATGGTTAAATTTGAACTTCATGCAGATAAAGAAGAAAAGTTAATGAAGCTAGGTATTCATTAAATCATTATATATGTGTTTTTTTTAAATGCAAGCAGTGCCAATATCTGACCTTAAGCTGGTATTAGACACGTACAATTAATAGAACAGCAGAGCTCAGATGTGGAGAGGGAGAAATACCAAGTGTGCCGCAGTGCTCAAGTGCTAACAAGGAGCATGATGATAGAAGATAGCAGAAAATAGGATTTTTGTACTTGCTGTAAAATCTTTTTCTGCCTTCATTGAATAACATAGCAGTGATCTTGAATCTGTGTTATTGCCCCACCTTCCCGAGTAGAATAGTAGAGTAAAGCTTAGGGGTGGTTCCTGGCAGTGGTCTAACCCCGTCTGCTAGAAGCTAGTCAAAAAGCAGTGCTTAGAGAACAGTTGGTCACAGACAAAACCAGAGGGGGAGGATGCCATGTCCTTCAATAAACACACAGAAAAGGAGTCTATGGTAAGTACAAAAATCCTACACTCTCTTCCATTCATTGAAGGACACATCTGAGATCTGGAACCTCTGACCATTAGGATATTCCAAAGTAGTGTCTACCAAAAGGGTGGGAAAAGTAAACTCCCCTAAGGCAGCAACAGCACAGTGCCACCTGTAAGATGCGCAAACTAAGAATGGGATACAGATATACGAGAAGTCTCATGACACGCAATGGCCAGATCCGCCCAGATAAATGGTCCTTGGAGCCTGGAGGCTTCTTCTAGGGAGCTTGATAGGGAGACCTTCTAACAGAAGCAGTTGCTGCAAGGTAAAGCCGCACTGCACAAACTAATCTAGACAGTGAAGAGAAATATAGACTGAGAGCCCACAGAGCATCCACCAGTAGTCTTGTAGGTTGGAGTACCACAGCCGCCTGGGCCAATCAGACTGAGGATCACTGGAATACCATCCATATAGATCCTGCAGAGTAGATGAGGAAGTGGTTGTGGAGCAGGAAACGGGCAGATCAGTCTGTACTGATCCCACAAAGCTACCAGGGAATCTGCTGGTTTAACAGAGGAACCTGCACCTAGAGACAAATCTGTCCTGTGTATTTGTGGAATCCAGAGACCAGAAGGTCCACGTCCACCATCCCCCACCTCTGTCACAGGTCCTGTAACACCTTTGGGTAAAGGGGTCTGTCTCTCGAGTCCAGGCCTTGATGGAAGAGGAAGTCTGCTGCCAATTGTCCACCTTTTGGATGTAAATGTCAGGCATTGCTGGAATGTGAAGTTGAAGTGCTGATGCTCTTGCTGTGACAAATATCCTGGTTCCTTACTGATAGTTTGTGTACACTACTGGGCCACAGAAAATCTAGCCCACAGTGGTTCGTCAGTTGGTTTGTCTAGAGACTGAACCGACCTATTCCACAATGCCATGATGACAATGTCAAGCATAGGGGCCAGAGTGGGATCAAGCAATGGAAAAGCCTCAAAGAAGACTACCACCTGGCCCCAGATTGCAGTCGTGCGGATCCAGGACTGTAAGGCTTGAGACTGAGTGCAGACAGTTGCCCTGGAGGAGGAAACACTCTGCTTGAGCTAGGTCTAGGACAAGTCCCAGTTACTGCAAGCAATTAGTCATATGCAGCGCTGACTTCTGAAGATTCAGGGTCCAACTGAACTTCCATTAAGATCTGGACTGTCAGCAGTAGGTTGCGAGTCAGAACTTGTACCAACACTTCCTTCAACAGAAGGTCATCCAGACATCCCCTGGTAGCATAACAAAATCGTAAAGACAGGGACCACCAGCACTCAGTTTAAAGCATTCAATTTGTTTGCTTATTTATAGAAAGAAACATGCCACAAGCTTCAATTAGCCAACATTTCGGGGCCACGCAGGGTCCCTTCTTCAAGGCGCCATAGTAACCTGTCAGAATGGCAGAATAGAGTGAAGCAAGAAGGGGGAACTCTAGTATCAGACCCCACACCCAGGCAGCTAACAGGCTTCTGGACAAAGTGCCCGCACAACAGAAATCTCCCCCCTGCACCTATGGTAGCGGAGACATCCCTCCACAGCGAAGAGGACATGTCTGCTGGCTAAGGGGTTTTGGAGGACTCCTGAAATGGGTATTGTTCAGAGAAGCCTTTGGTGTGAAAAGTGTATTAGAAGTCCCCACACAGGACACCTGGGAGTAGCGTGTGCACCGGTGAGGAGTCAGTAGTCTGAGGACCTCGAGTCTAAGGGATCCTAGACAGGGAGCAGCACTAGTAGAAGCTACAGCAGCTCTTCTAAATTTTAAGGTGAGATGCACTGCAGCAAAAATAGCCTCTCCAAATCTGGGCGCTATGGCCACTGCCTGCGACTCAAGAACATCATCATCCTGCAAGGAGTTGTGAGGCCCTTTATCAGACACAATCTCCACAACCAAAGGCTCCCTTCAAGGCAACAAGCAGGACAATTATCAATCCTGCATTGGAAAGCATAGAGGTACACTTATATCATCTCTGGACAGGGTTACCCACAAACCACTCCAAGCCAGCCATAGAGAAGAAGGGGGAGAGAAAAGTATGTTCTCACCACATCCTGGCAAAGAAAAAAGCGGGCACCTTCTTGTGACAGGCTGCCTCTTACCAGGACAGGAGCACATTCAGCACATTCAGCAAGAGAGGACGCTACGTGGTCATATGTGCTCCTTGTGAGATAATGCACAGGCTGCCCAAACCAAGATAGGGCTGGATCAGCCGAACCCGCATGCAGCAAGATCTTTATGAGCTCAGGGGCTGAGCTGGGGGGACTAATATGGTTCTACATTATCCAGCCTGTTATTCAGCTCAGCTGTTGGCTGAATAAATTGACACAGAAGAAATAAATATATGAAGAATCCACTGGGAAAAAAGGGAACTACCCAGATAGCAAGGATAACTTGCCACAAACCTGTGGCAGGGTTAAATTGTAATTCTTGTTAACTTGCTGCACACATTCCTGGCAAGTTGTAGACTTGCAGAACACTTGCAGCACAAGTTCTGGTTGACACTTTTCGAATTTGTAGCAAATTTGCTTGGCAAGTCTACAGCAAGAGTCCTGCAGGTTTTAGCAAAGAGCTCTGCAAGTGTACAGCACTTTTGCAAAGCACGTTGATCTGGGGACTTGCGATGCAGACTTGCTGTAATTGTGCAACACAATTGTGAAGCTTGGCAAGTCTGCAATAGTTTAGCAAGTCATTTTCAAAAAGGGAGCTTAGGGCCTTGCTCGTCGACACTATGCAATGCAAGATTTGGCTGCCGCTAAAAAATGGGGGTTAGGCCACCCCTAGGTTGTGCTTTTGTTTTATTGCCTAATGTCATACTCCTGAAGGTAACTAAATCCCAATGGTCAGAGATTCAGTGTTCTTCCTTCAATGAAAATGAGAGAAATTAGAGAAAATGAGCTGATCAGTGTTCTGCTTCTCCTTCACTGCCAAGTCGCAGGCTGCGTGAGAAACAAGTCCTAGTTGTAACTGCAGTATAGAAAAATCAGATCTCCTGCCCTGACAGCGAGGAATGTGCACTGTGACAGATGTGTATAAATCTCAAGACTGGATGGACAGAGCTGCAAATCATTTGTCACGTAAAGCATCTACCTTCATGGTTGACCTGCTGCTGAGAAAACTACTCAAGATTTTTAAATCTGTCTTATTTTAACTAGGCCAAGAAAGTTTTAGATAAGTCTAAGAATTTGCTTGTATATGTCCTAATGTTTCCTTAACACTCCACCAATAAATGTTTTTTTTCCACCCCAGTTTTTGTCTGGTTTCTAGAAGACTGTATAGTTTTTTCCCTATATTATTATCGTCCTGCTGGATAGATACGTCCAGTGACAATCTTCTATTCTAAATCGCATATAATTGTACCATGTATGACTACATGCAGACTGCCGCTGAGAGATGTGGCTGCTGTCATTTACTTGACTGGGTACAGCAGCCTCATCTGAATGGGACATCTGTGATTCCTGCCACAGGTATCCCAGAATGCCCTATGTGAATGGGGCCTAAGAGTGCCAACATCTCAGCCCACTGCTCTCTGCATCTACAGTATAGAGGCTATGCAACCGTTAAAGGTGCTATACTTATTACCACAACTAAAGAAACAACGTGTACGTGAAGCCAAACCCTTGCCGTCTTTGTCCCTGTGGGGAAATTTCCCTTATTTGTTCTGGTGACCATTCACCGGAACAGAAAGTGATGGGAATTTTACAGTTGTCACCAGTACAGGAGGTAGGGGCAATCTTCCAATTGGGATACCTGGTGTGATAAAAACTAGGTGGGTAATTCTCACTTTGTTAAGACGTCGTCTCACTTCTTTTTAATGGGAAAGAGACCGCATAAAATAAACGAAGCTTTTACCTCTTACCTACTTTGTCCAAATCTAAAAATGTTTTGGGATACACACTTTTAGCCCTTACTAACAACTTCGCTTGCAAAGTTATTTTCAGGTTCCATTACCTCTTGCAGGACCCTTACTGAATGCAAATTTACAGGCACTTGGGTCTTCCAAATCTGGTTTGCAAGAGCCTTTCACATTTTCCAAGGTAGGTGTTTGAAGATAAACACTTGCCGAAATAAATGTATTTTTGGAACACACTTACCTATCTAACATACTGGTTTCATCCCGGTGGGTTTGACTTTTCCTCTCCACTTGCTTAGCCAAGGACTCCGTACTGATGATAACACGGTGCACTTCTTTGAGATGACCAAAATATACCCGGATGTGTCCGAACACCTTGGCACAAAACTCGCAACACATCAGCTTTTTGAGGCGGCTGTCACTGTGGTGAAGCTTCATGTGCGTGCTCAGACTGCCTGAATGCACGTAGGCCTTGCGACATAGGCGGCAGTGGTAGGGTCTTTTGTTGCTGTGGCTGTTTAGGTGGTCTTGTAAATGGTGCTTAAACTGAAAACTATGATCACAGATGTGACACTTATAGAGCAGTTTTGCAGACAAGGAAGGGATTTTACAGTCACTTTGAGCCACTGGTAAAGCATCATTCTGCCTCCACCTATGTGTTCTAACACTTATCATGCGATTTCTAAGGCTGAATTCGCTTGCCTGAGATTGTAGTACAGAGGAAGAGCCGCTAAGTGAAACAAAGCCCTGAATATCAACAAAGGGCTTTGGCATAATGTTCCTGTATTTCTTCACTGTTACAGTCTTCTTATCACTGGCCTCCACAGCCTGAGATTTGGCCCTTTCCTTGCACATAATCAGCCTATTCCCAACCAATCTCATTTTAGTCTGGTACCCCAAAGTCTCACTTGAAGTTTTTCGTTTTTTTCCTCTTTTCTTACTTGGAACACCATTCCGTTGGCTTAAATTGCCATCAGGTTTTGGTACTGGTGGGTATGGACCACCTTGGGTGGGGCCTTGTGAGATACTGACTGATGAGGAAGCCTGGGCATCACTTGAAGTCTGCATTCCACACTGAGCTACATTTGACTGCGGTAACTTGGAAGGGCCTGCTGACTGTTTACAATTAGAAATAATGGATTTCTTGATTTTTGAGTAAGGCAAGATGGGCAGTTTTCCCTTCGGCACAGATGAAAGGAGATGAACGGGACTCCCAAAGACCACTGGGGAGAGAACTGCTGCAGGATTTGTTGAATCAGTCACTTTGGCACTTTTGCATTTCACCAGTGTCCCACTGTCTCCTAAACCAGCTTTCTTTTCAAAGTCAACACTAAGCTTTGCAGGACTAGTTGCAGGTAACATTGAAGGGGCAGCTTTATCAATAAACAGCAAGGCTGAATTACTTACATTAGCAACCTGTGCTCCAGCACCTGGGAACAAGCCGCTTTCAGAGACAACCTCTTCGGCTGTGGTCACAGAAGCAAGTTTTGGTGTTGCAGCCTCTTCTTTAGAATCTGGTTTCATAATGCTCTCCTTATTGTCTTCACTTTTACCTACAACAGATTTTTCTAATTTTGTTTTGTTTAGTACCCTTGACGTTTTGTTCAATGGCTTCTTCTCGTGGCTAGGTGGGTACCTTGGAATGGGCAATTTAGGATTTTCCTGTAAAGGTATGCTGGTAGTTTGAATGACTTGTCCTCCCATGGATGAAGCGACCTGTGGTAAAGCTACCAAGGAAAAAGTGCCGTCTTGGCCAGCAACTTTCATTAAAGCATAGTTTTGAGTTTGCATAATGAAAGGTTTTGCATTAGAGGCAGTGATGTCTGCCACAGAGGGCGGGAAGGAGGGAGGACAGGAGGAAACAACTTTGGGTGCAACTTTTGGTGCAATGGTCCTAAAATGGGTTTTGCTTTGTACAGTTTTCTTGGATTGCATTGTCCCGCTGGAGCCCGAAGAAAACTTTGATTCATCTGTAGAAAAACAAAAAGTATAGAAATAATAAAGATCATTTTTAAAAGAAAGCTGTGAGCTCACCTTAATATGCAAGGCGGCCCCAAGTCCATAAAACAGACAGCCCCAGGTGTCTGCCAGCTCAGTTTTAGGTCAGAGAACCTGAAGATCCCCAAAACCTTGACACTCTAAGGCAACTCTGAATCGCACAGCTTTCTGGTCAATAAAAAGGTATGAAGGGCATAAAGGAACGGGACAGTTATTAACCAGGGATCTGTGTGGTTGATAATTGCCAGGGTTTTGGAGCTCTGCAGAAGCTCCAAACAGTGAACAAGCAACTGGAGATGCCTTCATTATAGACCTTGACAGGAACACAGTAGTTGTGTCTGTGGCGGGGGCATTTAGGGTGAGTACCCTCACTTTCTGTTCTCTCTGAAACAGGCAAGTAGGGAGGAGATTTATACTAACTTTAAAAGGAAGCGAGGCAAAATCTCCTAAAATGAAGACACTGACAATTAAAGTGACATTAAACCCTCAGATTTTTTAACATAAAACAATACTGTAATGTGTGCCTTACTGTAATCCATGGTAGTTTCCCTTCTCTTTGCTGCTCTTCCCATTAAATCTGTATCTCTTCTCATGCTGGGCAGAACTTCTGTTTTGCAGCAGATTGCCTTGTCTCTGAAATGGATACATGGTGTCTGTGTGCAGGTTCACAACCTGAGCCAGCACTACAGGAAGAGGCACTCAGCTGCAAAGGGAAGTTCTCCCCCAGCATAAGACATGAGGATTTAAAAGGAAGAGCAGCAAAGAGAAGGGAAACAACCATGGATTACAGTAAGGCACACATTACAGTATTGGTTTATGTTAAAAAATCTGAGGGTAACTAAAATAAAAGAGGTTTGCTGGATTTGGCCTTTAGAGAGATATCGTTAATATAGCCATTCAGTGCCTAAGTCATAAAAAGCAGCAGATTGGTCTTGCCTCGGTTATACCGCTGCTTTAAAAAAAAAAAAAAAAAGACAATTCTAATTCACTTGCTTTATGGAATTCTAAATCAAGCAGAGAACGATTCATTTTAAAATCGATAAAAAAGTTCAGGAAGAGGAGAGCCCAGTCACATGACCTCTTTGAATCATGTGACCGGCCTCTCCACCAATCACAGCATTATGCAGAGAGCCACGCAAATATAGGCAGGTTAGAAAATAAAGGAACAAGGAGACTAGGAATCTAGACTAGAACAATTACACTGAGTCTCTCATGAAACCTGTTCTATAATACAAAGTCATCATCTTTATTTATCAGATCACTTATAAAATCGCCAAAGTTCAATCACACGCATTTACCAAAAACACCTAAAAACATTCAAAAACATTACAGAAATCAGAAGCCCATAATAGTAAAATGATATCATTCAGGTGAGGGAAATCCTACTCCTGGCTGAGGACATACCCGGGTCTATAAAAGTGCATAGCATGTATACATCTGAAGTGCACCCAAAAAGGTAAAAACTATAATAACATATCATGTGACTAGTGAAAACAAGTGTATCCCATTCAATATCATTGTATCAGAGCTGTGGTAATATATATACCGGTGTATGTAT